CTCTACAGGTTAATGTCTACATCGTCAACATATAGTGGCTTCCCTTTTAGTGAAAGCAACTGGAAAAAATCTCCAACAGCAACCGCACTTATATTACCAAAAGAAAAATAACGACTTTGTTTCACCTGCCAAAATCTGCAATGAACATATGCTATCTTTTTTCACTACATTGGTAGAAAAAAAAAATTGTGCACTAATCTGACTCTTCATCAAGTCATCTCCAAATCCGACATGCAGCATGATTTAAATGTATTAAAGGATTTTTGGCAAGGAAGAAAGAAAGCCCGTTTTGCTTCCCTCTCTGTCACCGTTTCTTTCCATTTCTCTGTGTATTGGTGGAAAAAAAAGGGATGAGTCTTTTACTCACCCCTCGCTTCCTCCTCTTTGTCTTTTATGGCGAGCTGTGTGGGAGACAGAAGAGTGGAGTGAAGGAGGGAGTGAACGTGAAGGGGAATTGAAGATGACAGATAATAGTGGGGAATTGAAAGAGTTGCAGAGAGGATGTGGCAGCGGGAGATGAGGTGGCGCAGTGCTTCGGTAATACACCAAACGCCACCAGCTTCCACCTCATCTCCTCTTTTCCTTTGACTTCATCTTCTTTTCTCCCTTCTGCTCCCATCACCCTGCCTTATCCTCCTCCCTCTTTTCTTCCATGTGTGATTGTGCTCATATCAGCTGAAGTATTATGTATATTTCACATATATTTTAATGAGAAGACAGAGTTGTTACACAAGGTAACACCTCTCTATCCAAAGATATTAGTGCCTGAGCTGCTGTATTAGTGCTTGTTGACTGACGACACAGGGAGCGCGGGACAGATTTCTTTCCCACAACACGACCCAAAAAGTGCATCAACATCTCATTTAGAAACGCTTACATTTCCTTTTAATCGTAGGCCTTCAAATTTTGTCAGTTGATATCAATCATTATCACACTTAAAAAATCTGTTCATGATTTCTTTCAAGTTTAAAGGCTGATTTTTGCTCCTGAAATCAAATTTGAAGAAACCAGACGGTAATTGTAGCTTAAATTACGATTTAATGTCAGATTGTGTCAACTTTTGCCAAACAGTATGACATTTAACAATTCTGATAATGTCAATAAATAAAACAGCAAATAGATAAAGAACTATGTTACATATATACGTACGCCACATTGTCACATTACAATAAGTACATATTGTGACAACTAGGGATGTTCCTAATGACTAATTTCCCTGGCGTTAAAATGAGGTTTAAACTTAAGCTAGTCAACTAGTCTAAAAGTAAGAAAACACTCAAAAAATTGAGCTCAAATTTAATCTGACAAGATTAAACATTGCAAAGAAAATATTGTATATAAGAGCCAAATCAAAACTGTGATCACATTTTTCAGCAACTACACACATACATCCTTGAAAATTCTCTGAAGGAAGGATTCAGTTGTCGGTAGAATTTGAAGAATCATTGACATTGGAACAGTTCTTTGGAGGAATTCAGTGACATAGCCTCCTTGAAATTCACCCATCTAAGGATCCTTCCTTGACATTGAGCAGCAACAACTGTAGAGACGTTGATGATCAGAGTCACTGGTTAGGCTCGCACAATGATCCAGACTCCTGTGTATCTTGATAATAACTGACTTGAAATTCTGGTACCTGTTAGCGAGGGTAACAGTTAATCAACTAGCCTATTTATCACGCACATCCCACACCTTATGACAACGACCAGCCATGATTCTTTTGCTAAAACTAACCTAATCAATAGGGGTTTTAATTAGGAAGATATACAAAACTTTCAACTTGACAAAACCAAAAAAGGACTTGCAACTTTGCAGAGGCTTAAACACGAATGCTACTTAACTTCATTTGGACTTGAATCATGACTCGGGACTTACCTGACTTGACTCAGGACTTCGTAGCCAAGATGAGAGTCTTATCTTACTTTGTCCCACCTCTGGTAATTCATTTTCAGATTGTGGGACTTAGACATAGCTAAAGATCCATGTGCAGATTAGTGTGATTACACTCTTAATACTTGTGTTAAGCCGTTAACATGAACCTTTTTGAGCTTCTGGTTCAGCCTCACAGCGTTCTGTTAATGCAGCACATGAATGTAAAACGCTTCATTCTCACAGAGGACTCTCACTCTCCCTCCTCTCTTCTCTGCCCTCACATTCACTCCGTCAGGCTCCCACTCATGACTCATTCATTCCTCTCCTCCCTCCACTGGACCACCATCCTCTCCTCCTCTTCCTCCTTGTCCTCCCCCATCTTCAGCTGGACCTCACTCCTCCCCTGCCCCTCTTCACAGCCCTGTTCCCGCTCCGCCTTTCGTTTCATACCCAGCAGTGGAGACCCTCGGGGGGTCTGTGCTGAACAAGCTACTTCAGATTCATGTGATGCATTGCTTGGAGGTCACAGGCAGAGTCGGCTCTTTTTTCCCCCTTACCTCAGTGTTTTGTTTTTTTTTCTTCTTTTTTATTCCCCTGCACATTGTATGCTTAATGTGTTCAGATGTTCAACATTTTTTTTGAGGATGGATTAGAGTGCAAGAATAAATCTTGCTGCGTAAGCGCTGAGTGTCCCCGTTTCTTGACCGTACTGCCTGTGAGTGGTTAAAGAGGAAATCCCACTGAAAAGCCAAGAAAAATGCTCATGTTCAGATGCTTTGAGTCCACTTTAATGTGCTATTTGAATCAATTTTTTATCATAGCAGAGAGAAAATGTAGGTGAAATGACTCAGGCAGATGTGTAGAAGTAGGACCAGATGAGGATTATCTGTAATCCATGTGTCACAATGTATTTTTGAATATTATGATAAGAAGTACGTTTTATGACAGTCCTCAATGAGAAGCAAAGACAGTGTAGATAATGATGCACTTGACAATGGTGATTTTCTGTTCTGTCAGCTCACTCTATTCCATGTATGCTTAACTTTATCTTTGTCCCGTAATAAAAGGCTACAGAATGGAAATAAAATCGAACCGTTTAATCAACATGATCATCAGAATAAATTATGTACAGCTCACTGCACAGAGCAGGCCACAGCACTGCCATGAACAGGCCTCTGATTCTCAGTGTGGGCGGTTATGTGTGTATTAACAAATGTTTAAGCAGTTTAGATTGAATAAACCTGCACTTTCACAGGTTTTAGCTTAAACCTGAATTAATTGATTTGGCCGCTTTAGGGACAATGAAACAAGCTGTGAAACAACATGGCACATTATCACCCTTTAAAGTAACCTTCTACACATCCAACAGATAAAGCACAAAATTATTGACTCATGTTTCTGTCCACTTGATGACCTTAAGTCTGACAAACTACTTTTAGGTTTAGTTTTGGTCTCCACCAGCTGCTGAGGGAAATATTAAGGGATGCATGATGTTGTATTTTTTTTGCTAATATCTGATATGCCGACATGTAACAACTCATTTGACTGATAACTGATCCTGATATCGATTTCTTTACCCACCAATTTTAGTGATTATGAGATCTTTTCTTTCGGGGAATTAACATCATATTATGAGACAGGTGGAGAGACGAAATACAATGTTTTCCAATGTACATAATATTAATTAATTGTGCAAATTAAGAAAACAGCATGTTAGCCAATTCTGAATATTGGCCAATACAGATGACCAACTGATATTATCAGCATGTTGGCCAATTCTGATATTTCAATTTATAGCCAATATCGGCTGCTACCAATGACATGCCAACATTATTCTCCAACCCTAGAAATATTTGTCTCTTTAGCTCTTAAATACTACACTATGTTCATCAGTTAGCCAGTTAGCCGCTAATGTGTGCCATTCAGTGCTGGGCAGGTAGCATACAGTTGATTTATTTGAAACTTTTCATTAGAAATATGTGCCTGGATGTTAGCTGATGAGAGCATGGATGTATAAAGAGAACTAGATATATCTTTGGAAGCAGGCAATCAGTCATTTCTATGAAAGTTGCCTCATGGAGCCAGAAAGAAAAATGATTAAAAATGATTTAATCATGCGGCTCTTCTAGACTTTCCAAATGTTATCGGACTGAATGGATCATATCTCGATAGTGAAACAAGTAATTTCACGGGGGCTGTAACGCTAAAAAAAAAATGTATTTACTGATTTTCAGGCATCTCTTTCTCAACATAAGTCCATGGCAAAAGACTTTTCTGGGCCACATGGACCTGGAAGTTGTAGTTCCATGTTTGGCCACTATGTAAGATTGGCTTCAAACTGGGCACTGTTCCTGGGGGCTTGGATAAGAACATTAAGAGAGAACCAAAATAATGAAGTTGTGGACTGTAAAACAAAAACTATGAGATGAAAGATGCTACAAAGTGCAGTAGAGCTGAAGAGGACTGTAATCCGCTAATTATTCACTGTTTGTTTGTCACTAGGAGCGACACATCAAATTACACTTTTTTTTTTTTTAAATGACTTAATGGCTTAATTGTATTCGAGCTTGTTGACTTGAAAATCCAGACTCATGTTAAATTATGCGTGTTCTAATCAAGCTAACTCTGTTATTGATTCATTCATTCATTTGCTCTTTATTGATTGAAAGAGCAAAGAGCCTGGAACCCCCGCGTCCTTTGCGTCTAAAAATCTATTTAAATCCTAATTTTCCTTTTTAACAATTGTTTTTAAACCTCTTCAGGTACTTTCTTCTAATTAGAGGAGAAAACAACAGACTGGGTGGGAAGACGGTAAACATTGTCACTTTTGTGCTAGTTCGAATGGTCAAGGCCATGTTCATGGCTCCATGAACTTGAGGCTAACACTTTCCTCCTGTTACTTGGACTATTGCTCCTATCAGAGCCAAGAGGTGCTGATTGTTTTTTATTTTTTTCTCTTTAGCAACTCGGAGGCCATTATTTTTAAGTTAATTGTGACTTGGCCACAGAGGAAGATAGTGCATATGTGAATAAAGAGATTATTCCAAAACGGAAATTGTTTTCTGATGTTATTACTCAGACTCATGTTTCTTCATTTCTCTCCGTCTCCTCCCTTCCTCTCTGTCCAGGATGAAAATGCGGCGGCACAGGGTGTTCTTGCTCTGCACAGTGGGCCTGTGCGTCATCTCCTTCCTCCACTACTACAAGGCCCTCCACTACGTCTCCCTGCTGCGCGAGCTCTCAGCCCCGTACCCCAACATCAAGTCCTTCATCATGGTCACCGGCTTCTTCTGGAGGGAGAAGGGTGTAGGCACCACCCCGCTCAGCCCCGCCTCTCCTGAAGAGGCCCCTCCCCTACCCGTCCTCCGTCAACCGGACACCAAAGCTAGAGCTGTAGCGGGCGCTGTGGGAGGGGGAGGAGGAGGTGGAGGAGGAGGAGGGATGGGGCTGGGGATCGGCGGAGTTATGGTTGGAGGTGCTGGGATCGTTGGCAGCGCAGGGCTGGAGATGAGGTTGAGGGAGGAGCCGGCGCCCCCTCACCCTTGGGAGAAACCAGAGGAGAATGAGCGGGGAGACACTCCGAATGAGGTAACTCTATATACTCTAACATTATGTACACCAAACAAAAAAATAAATGCGACACTTTGGTTTTAGCTCCTTTTTTTACGGGGTGAAATAAAGATTTTTCTATGCAAACAAAAACTTATTTCTCTGTGAGCACGTTTCCAAGATAATCCATCCACCTGGCAGGTGTGGCTTATCAAGATGCTGATTAAACAGCATGATTACAACACAGATGTGCCTTGGAATGGTCCAAATAAAAGGCCACTCCAAAATCTGCAGTTTCATCACACAATGCCACAGATGTCACAAGTTTTGAGGGAGCCTTCTATTAGCATGCTGACTGCAAGAATGTCCAACAGAGCTGTTGCCTGTGAACTGAATGTTCATTTTACTACCATAAACCATCTCTAATGTTTCCAAGAATTTACTGGTCCATCCAACTGGCCTCACAACAGCAGACCACTTGCAACCAGGCCAACTCGAGAACTCAACATTTGATTTCTTGACCCCCTTTCCACTTTCAAAACACAACTTTTCAAGCTGGCATATTCGGTCTTGATTTAATGGTGACACACATATAGTGACCTGCACTGATGATGACTTCATGATGATGATTTTATACCTGATATTTGAAATTAGACATGTTTTTTTCTTTATGGATGAATTTGCTGTAACCAAAACATGCATATCTGTGGCCCAAGTCTTGTGAAATCGATAGTTCAGAGTGTTTAATAAATGTTTTCAAGATAAAACTGCACATTTTAGAGTGCCCTTTAATTGTGACCAGCCCAATGCAGGCGCACCTGTGTGGCAGTGTTGTTGCTAATCAGCATCTTGATATGCCGCACCTGTCAGGTGGATGGATTATCTTGGCAAAGGAGTGCTCATTAACACAGATTTTAAAATATTTATGCACAAAATTTGAGAGAAACAAGGAATTTGTGTACATTGAAAAAGTGTTTCATCTTAAACTTATGAAACTGGGAGTGAAAACAAAAACTAGATAATATTAAATACATTTCTGTTGACACCACCTTCTTTAGTTGTTAGTATACTGACCAGTATGGTGTGATTGTAAGGCTGTAGGGCTTCATGATGGATTAGTTTTTCCCCTCCTAATGATTCTCAACACTGTTAAAATCTGCAAAATCTGTGTTGGTAATTAGAAAGATTACAAAGTCTCAAGACCAAATTGGTGTTTCTTGAACAAGGATTCCTCCGTACTTGATGAAAAGCCAATTTGGGCTCACAGCATTGTAATTTCTCTCATGTCATAAAATAGAATTTTTACACCCAGCTCCTCAGTAGTGCTGGGAGTGTTTGGAAGGCAGAAATCACAATTATAGTTTTTTGGACTCCCGGTCAGGAAAATGTGTGTGAGTTTTGCACTCTGGTTGGCCGTATACAAAACATAATTTTAATGAATTTCTACTTTGGGATGAACTTGAGATTCATAAAATATTACCAGTATCATTTTTTACATATTTAATTATGCACAGGTGGAGTGTTTATATTTTATATTATCCACATGCAGACAGTATTGAGTCCAGGATGTACAGAAAGGCTCCAGTCACTCACTTAGGCTTTCTTACTGTCACTCATCTGCCACCTGCAGGAAGACAATGAGGGAGAGGTGTTACTTTAGGAATCTTTGTTTTCCCAAAATACTTAAAATTAGTTTTTATGAAACAGAGTGAGTAAAAACAACAGAAATATTGTTTCATAAGTATGCATTTTTAGAAAGACAGCAGAAAACCTAACAAGAAAAACAGAGTAATAAAAGCTGTTTGCTTTGAGGCAAGATATTTTCACAACCCTCTTGAGGTAATTCAAATGTAATATTACCTCACACGTTATTGATCGTGTTTCTTTTCTCATCTCTTCCTGCCATCATCCTGTTTTATCACTCTGTGTTTTTATCACGCTGCCTCCCTTTTTATTTTATCACTTTGCAAATAATCTCCAACACTCAGCAAGTTCTCACATCCGTGTTTATGGAACCTTTGAGACCAAAAATAAATAAATAACACTCTGTAATCACTCGTCCTAGGTCATGTGGTGATGCACTGTCGCCAATCAACACTAAAACGGTGTTTCACGGGAATTACTTTCATACCAACGTAATGATAAGGTGTCATTGCTCAGTGATTGCAGAAGCTACACTTTATGCATGTGTTTCTAAACATTAACTGCACAGTTTGCCCTCATTTCTTTCTGTCACATGTGATCTTTTTACAAGGTTACTTAGTAACCTGTTAACACTTGACAATGAGACAAGCACAAATGTTGTTATTGCACTTTAAAAGATGTGGGTAACTAACAGTCTTACCAAAGGTTTCTGAACGTACATTTACATACTCTTTATATCCAATCATGAATACCAACTTTGGCTTAGGCCATGATATAATAAATGTAGGGTAAGTTCTATGCAGAAGGAGCTACAACTTTGTAAGGCTGCCCTCTGAAAGTTGAAGTATGACAAGTCAAGCAGTCATTCGTGTTTTTGTCTGTCAGCGTGCATTGTACCTCTGCTCTGGGGACGTTTCAGTCCCAAGACATAGTTGCGGCATGAGCGTTTCTCGCTGTCACGCTGCACGTCACTACAGGCAGCTGCAGACACAGACTCAGGGTGAATCTGAGTGAGACCGAGGCAGCTGCCTGCCTGGTCATGCTCCGAGATGACATAATCTTCTGCCCTCTGCTTAGAAGTGGGGAATTTACAGCTCACAGCGACTTGATACAATACAGTCTCTGGCTTTTGTTTGACATTTAGTGTTGGCAAAAAATGTTATTGCATATTTTTGATTCACCTTTAGCGTAGTTAGCACGCATTAGCTCAGTGGGCAAACTTGGCTTGCTTACTACATTGTGTAAATGTCACTGTCACCCTGAAAATCCATCCGAAGCCGGATCAATGCCTCAAACGTGGTATGGAATATAATGTACAAATAGTCAAATATACTGTAGCTTCTTTACATGTGACATCTTACGCTAGTGAGCTGTCCAGATGGAGGGCAGGCAATTGGAGGCGAGGACTACCAACACTGCATTAATGCCTGATTTGTGCTATTTAGGGCTGTGCTAATCAAATTGAAAATAGTAGGATGTGAAGTGGAGAAGTAAAACAAAAAGTCACTGAGAAACAGTGGCAGATGTGGATCAAAAACCTCTGTTTTCAGTCTGGAGGAGCGGAGTTAACTAATTTCAAATGTAAACGTTAAATGAACATGCCTTGAGCTGGATGCAATTACAGTGTGCTGTAAGAACTTCTCAGTTTTTTTTTAGCCACAACCCAGATTTTTAACAGCGTTTCACCAGGCCTCTGGGAAGGGTTAACCTAGTAGGTAGACAAGAGTAGCTAAAGCTAGCTAATGTTAGTTAGTAACAGTAGCCTGATGGCCAAGACTGAAAAATAAACTATGCTCAAGCACATTTACTCACCTGACCAAAAAGAAGACAGCAATCGTTAAGTCATGGACCCCACGTAAAATAGTTATAGTCCACCAGATATTTGTATACTTTCATTGACTTGCTGTGTAACATTAGTAACATTAGGAGGTCTGGTGGATAAAGTAATTTGTAACAAGGATCGTGTTTACACCGGGCAATTTGGTCAAACTATGAGACAAATTTCACATTTCCTTGTTTTGTATGGATCATGTCCAACATGATTTTCATTTTTGTGATGATACCTGCTGCCTGCAGGTTCTTACAACCCTTTTATATAGTCATTTTCCTCTATATCTAATTCACTGAGTATGTGGATTTATCACTTGCTGCCCTTTATCTTAATTTTGCGTGTCATAATAGCCACATGATTGCAAACAAGCTATTCGTATTGAACAGCCAAATCTACAAACAATCTACTAACAAAATTCTGTGTTGGGTACAGCCCTACAACTTTGTGGAAGAAATCAGAAAAAAAGCAAAAATAATTTTGGCTGGTGTTTTGACTGTCGGAGATGGAGTTCCAAAATTTTTAATTTAATGGATCATAAGTACAAGAATGCATTATTATTCTGAAAAGGATACATCTTGTCTCTTTCACTTCACCTAACTTTAAATTTGGTTCTATGGCCGCTCACATCAGTCCGAGAGTTAAGTTGAATATTTGGGATGGGATCATGGTTAACTGACCCTCACTTTTGACAAGTCACCAACTTTGATCAGCTTCAGTTATCAGAATGGGCAAATTTGGTGAAAACCAGACCAGTTAAACGTGTAGTATCCCCAGCTGTAATCTGCTGATCCCCGAAGACAATGAACGGATATTTTTTCTTTATTTGGTTTCATTTTTTTTATCAAGCGGGAACTAGGAGTAGAACCCCTGCTCCATCACATCGAAAGGGGTCAATAGAGGTGGTTTTGGCATCTGATCCCAGACCCAGAACACACCGGAGGGGTTACATATCTCGTCTGGCCTGGGAATGCTTCAGGATTCCCCAGGAGGAGCTGGAAAGCGTTGCTGGGGAGAGGGGCGCCTGGAGCACTTTGCTCAGCCTGCTGCCCCCGCGACCTGACTTCGGATAAGCGGTTGGAAATGGATTGATGGAAACTGCTGTCACTGTGCTAAGAACACTTTAAATTTTCACAGCAAAACAACGCAGAGCACCATCATGTAAACTTTGTCACATGAGAACTTTTAAATAAACATTTGGAAGTCACTGCAGGTGTCAACTGATGCGTAGGTGTTATTTGAAATTGTGGTACAAAGAGTACAAAGCACCACCTTCATTGAAACGTGCACTGGTCAGGAGTATAACTATGAATTCCAGTCTAGTAATGTTTCAGTGTTTTTACCATGTCCTTCCTTCATTATGGCGTATGTGTGCAGCTCATAGCTAAAAATGTCAAGCTGTTTCATGGTGTACAATTCAGTTTATCAATGACAATGACATGTACTGGTTTCAGGCATTAATTTTAAACAGAAGTTGACTTAATTCCCCTCTCTCTTCTTTGTCTATCTTTTTAGGAGAGAGCTGAAGACCACTTGAAGCAGCGGAGCCCCAGTCACCCAGCCCAAGATGCTGGGCCTGACCTCCCAGAGGTCCCATTTGTGGATAAAGAGCACCTGGACGCGTTGCTCAATAATCAGTTGCCAGACCCCATAGAATCCATGGGAGACCTCCACACCCGCAAATTCCAGCTTCAGGATGACAAAACACCTTACTTTGTCCGAACCAAAGCTGGGGCTCTTTGCTTCAGGCAGGGGACAGAGGTGGCTACCCCAAAGGAGTACTCTGGGAAATCAGGGGGGTCTGTGGCTAATGGAGCCGGGGATGGTGCCCGAGCTGCTGGGCAAAGGAAACCTCTGGAGGTCCAGCAGCAGCCCTCCGTAGCTCCAAAAGCCAAGACGAGGGTCAGGGGCAACGGGAAGCGGCTGGTTAAGTGTGTATGTCGGCCGGGATGGCACGGACCTTACTGTGGGGTTCCCACCATGGTGTACCACTCCAATTTGCCCACCAAGGAGAGGCTGACGCCCAGAGAGACCCCACGGAGGGTCATCAATGCCATCAATGTTAACCACGAGTTTGACCTGCTGCATGTGCGCTTTCATGAGCTCGCACAAGCAGTTGATGTATTCCTTATATGCGAATCCAACTTCACTGCCTATGGAGACAAACGGCCTCTGAGGTAAGACACCATATTTTGGACTGGTGTGTGTGTATGTCCACAGATTATACAAGCCATGCCCTTATGGCCGAGGTATATTTAAGCAAGATGTGTAATCCTCAACTGAGCTGCTCTGTGACCATCAGTAGATGATTCTTTTGGCCTGACAGTATGACGTTATAAAATGGCATGCTCAGCAAACTTTAAACGGGATTAAAGAGGTAAGAGTATGGCACAGTGATAAGACTTGTATCACAGAGCAGTAAAGAGAGTAGTAAATATTGTATAAAATCCTGGTCATGTCACATAAAGGCTTAATATCCATAAATTTAGTTCGAGAAGCCCCATTTATGGTATATTTTTATACATCGGTGCAAAATTCCGAAATTGCACAAAAGCCAAAGTTTTTGCCAAGTTGCGACACTGCCGGAGCGTTGAATGGTAACTGTTTACAGCTTGCAGTTTTTGTTTACAGCCAACCTTCACGCTTCTTGAGTATCAGCGTGCTGAATAACAGTTACAGTGAAGTTCCTTTGGCAACAACATGAAATGCCTCAGGAGCAATTTTACAGCAGATTATGACAAGAGCGACATGATTGACTCAGCGTGCAGCCTTGGAAGGAGAGATTGGTGTGTTCAATCATAGGATGTGACACCGCATGAAAATGGCTACATTCAGTGAACACTCAGTTTCGCTATGCATATCAACAGGTTAATTGAGTTGTTCTTCCAGTCAGTTTGGTGTATGGACAGTGGGTGTTCTGCACTGAAAGGCTTCATTTGTAAAACAAGAACCTTTTGTTACCCTGTGTACTTCATGTGCACTGTAGCATTTTGCCAGTCTTTCTATGCAGTGTGAATGTATTTTTCTTATTGTTCCAGGCAGCATTGGTTTCCACTTTGTTCTGTACAGTATAAAAAATCAATAAGCAGGCTTTTGAAACTTGCTGGAGTTACGTAATCCATTACAGTGAACATCAAGTCTCTATAAATCTTTGTCAAAGTCATGTTATGGTTGTATAATCATGCAGTTCAATGGTACCATGTGTAGTTCTCCTGTAAAGGAACCAGAGGTGGGTATGGAACTCTGTACTTATAAGGGTACCGACCAAATTGCATCAGTTTTACCAAGTACCAATTCATGTTAATCAATCGGTGCCAAAGTTTGATACCTGAGAGTGCATCTAGGTGAGAGATGGGTTCAGACAAGAGGTGGATTTGACAGTTCTAGCATGAGCAATAGCCTGACTGTTCACATCAGAAGTGCATTTCTCTGTGCTGCTCGACAAGCCATTCTGCCCTTTTCTAACACCGTGACCTAACTGGATGCAAGTGTCAGACTTATCACGCCACATTGCGTTACATCGGACACACTCTGTCCACACTGGATCCGTTAAATATGGAACTCCGTCACGTCATAAACAAACAACTTACTTAGGAGCTGTGGTGTCACAGTCACCACTGACAAGATGGTAGCGTACGTATTTCCTTACTATATCATACCACCATTTCCACTTTGTAAAACAAGCTAGCTTGCGAGCATCCCTTTCAGTTCTTCCTGGAAATGTTAAACTTCCTGGCGATCTCCCTCCAGCCAGATGCCAACGTATTTAGGTTTTTGTAGTGAAATAAGCAGGTATCCTGTAGGTAATTCCTCATTTAAACCTTGTGAATCAGCCATTCCTTGTCCATTCGGCACTTATAAAGTTAGCGACAGAATACAAATAGGAATCGGGCAAATGTTCAGCTCAAAACGACATGCAGCATCGTGCTGTGTCACGTCACATCGCTCACAGGCAGAATATTCCACTATGCAATCAAACTGATAAAGTCGCTGGTGCTTGCTCAGGTTGCATCCAGTTAGGACACAGTGTGACCGCACATAGAGCTTTATCATAGGTAACCTCTCTCTGTCTGTCTGTCTGTGTATGTAATTTAAAAAAAACACAACAGCAGTGATATTAGACTAAGTTTAATAAATATAGTGGATTGGCAGATTTTGAAATTTCATCATGTGTGGAGTAAAAATCAGGGAGCACCAAACCATGGTGCACCCTGTCTCTGACCAAAAAGAAGCGAGCAGTGCTTTCCATCAATTCTGGGCACTTCGTAGAGCTTCCACCTCCTGTCTGACACCAGTTAATCTCAAGTATAGAGAGAGCACGGCTTCATCACCCCTGCAGATTGTTCAGAAGTCACATTTTTGTTATAACAGAGAGAGAAAAGTATTAAAAAAGTGTACCGTTGGGTACCGGTACTGAATTCCAGGTACTGGTACTGGCATTTAAATGTAACCAACCCAATAAGGACCACAGTTACATTTGCACTGCTTTATGGCAAATGGCTTTGTATGGAGTCTTAAAGTCCAACAAGAGTGTTTATTTCCAATTTTTCCTTAGTGAATGTTCAAAGCAGATATTTTTTTGAAAAACTAAGACATGCATTTTTTTTTAAATATCCTTCTTCATCACCTTTAGCTGGTGCTTTGCTATTTTTCTGTTATTAGCTAAAATCGCCAACTGTAAATCATTGGAATATTGTGAAACTCAAAAAAAAGTGGATCTCGTCAACCACATTTTCATGGAAGGACATGTGCTGGTACAGCATAAGATGCAAACAAAATGGAGATCAGCTCATCAAAATGTTCTTTTGTAGCAAAGGTAGCTTTTAAAAGCAGCATGAATGGCAATCCACTCTTGACAAGGAATTATCTGTGTTTATCTGTCTTCGTTTACATTGTGATGGATTACACCCAAGCAAGGTTTCAACTCCAGCAAGTTTTGAGAGTCAACTAACAGATTTTTTTACCATATGGAAATTAATTGAAACCAATGGCTACCAGGAGTGGTAGATAAAACGCATCCAAAGATCGAAACACAACATAAAATAGTTAGCTGTGATGTGGTATGTTCCAATATAACAACACACAAATTCATGGCACTTTAAGTTTCTTTGGATAAAACAATCTGCTAAATGGCATTTATAATATCTGTAATTCTCTCCAGTTTCCTGCGGCTCCTTCTCAATGGTACGTATGACTACATACGTCACAAGATCCTGTACGTGTTCCTCGACCACTTTCCGGAGGGTGGTCGGCAGGACGGCTGGATTGCTGATGACTACTTGCGTACCTACCTGACACGCAACGGCATGTCCAGGTTGATTGGCATAAGACCGGACGATGTCTTCGTCATCAACGACGCAGATGAAATCCCAGCACACGAGGGTCTGGTTTTCCTAAAGCTGTTTGATGGCTGGACAGAGCCTTTTGCCATCCACATGCGCAAGGTAGCAGCGATAAGTTAATTGTTTGTGTGGTGTGGTTGCTCATTTCTCACCAAGAAGACATGCATGGAATTGTTCCTCTTTTTGTGTAACCTACGCAGCTTCCTTTGCTCTGTGTTTTTTAACGTTTTGAAGCAAAGAAATGGATCATATTTCTGTTTGTAATTCTGGTTTCTTCTCTTCCCACATCCAGTCACTGTACGGCTTTTTCTGGAAGCAGTTTGGCTCTTTAGAGGTAATATCAGGCTGCACAGTTGAAATGCTCCGCGAGGTCTACGACGGCGATGGTATCAAGCTCCGCCGTCGCGAATACTACACCATGCCGGGGTTCCGCAAGTACGAGAACGACACAGGCCACATCCTGGTGCAGTGGTCAGTGGGCAGCCCCTTCCACTTCGCAGGGTGGCACTGCTCCTGGTGCTTCACGCCCCAGGGGATCTACTTCAAGCTGGTGTCAGCGCAGAACGGAGACTTCCCGCGGTGGGGCGACTACGAGGACAAGCGTGACCTCAACTACATCCGCGATCTGATCCGGACGGGGGGCTGGTTCGATGGCTCCCTGCAGGAATACCCACCTGCGGACCCCAAAGAGCACATGTACGCACCCAAGTACATGCTGGAGCACTATGACAGGTACCGCTACCTCCTGGAGAACCCTTACAGCAAAGTGTCCAGACTGAGTGAGGGCTAGGAGTTCAGCTAGGAACAGATAGATGAAATAACTAGTAGGACCCAAGTGAGGCCTCAGCACTGAGTTTTGGGGGGCGAAACGGTACTGATGAACTACATCTCTCATTGGAGCAATACTACATGTATCTCCACCAGGCAGCACTGATGTTGCAGGGACTTAAAATCTCTTAAAAATAATTATTTTGGAGTCAAAAAAGGGAACACTGAATCGCATTCATCATGGATTTGCGGAGCGATCATCGAGAGGATACAACCACTGGATAAACAAAATCATAGATTTCCTCATTCCTCCCTTTTTGGGGGAGGAGCCAAGCTATCTCTCTTTTTGTCACCCCACCCCGTCCTCTCTTTCTTCGCCCGAGCCGATTCCACACGCCTGCTGTCTGAGAGAAAGGGGCCGCTTCGGCATAAGAAAAAGAGGGATATTTCGCAGTCCTTAGAAGCCTGTGGAGAAACTTGGAAGTGAAGAATTGTTTTTTTTTCTGTCTGTGTTTACTGAAGTTTATGGACTGGCTGATGTTCCCACCTCACTCCTCACCTTCAGATGTCTTCCTGTCATATTTGGTGACCTCCTTCCAGAAACAGACACACGTTCAGATATTATTCTTGGGTCTCAGTAGAAAAGTATGAATCCTATTAAACCCCGCTGGAGTACCCACTGCCAAATGAAAAGGAATGACTTGATGGAGAAGCCTCAGCTCATGTAATCTCACTCATCCACACGCACCTTAGACCTGTCTGTGTGTTTGTAAAAAGTGTGTGTGTGTGTGTGTGAGAGTGTGGTCTGTCTTAGTGTCATATTGCGAGGTTTTGGGCTGTGAAGGGGGGACAAGATCAGCATGAGGAAACAGAAAGCGAGAAATAATCACCAGGGGGGCAACAGGGAAGAAAGACAGAAAGCGAGATGGGAAAACACAGCGAGCAAGACAGAAGGCAGGAAAGAAAGGAGAGTAATGAGGGAGGAAGAGAGAGCCGATGAAAAGGAAAAAAAAGGAGGCTCTTTCGACGTTCCCTTTTCCCACAGTGTCTGCTGACGCACGAGCGTTGCAGGGATGAGTGTGCAGAATGTGCGCAAATGTGTGTGTCCCTCAGAGCTCACAGACAGCTCTGAATAAATCATGCCCTGTCGATGGCATCCGAGACGGTTGAAACTCGCCGTTATTGTTTGTCCGATGAGAACAACCGAGGCCTGTTGGGGAAAAGATCACCCCTCAGTTTCGTCTTTCTGTCTGTCCAGCAGCCGAGATGACTTTGTTTCCTTGGAAACTAAAGTATCTGAAAAAGGAGACGGGATGGGTGTTGTTAAGATGAGTGGGTGGGTTCACATCAGGCGAGGAGCTGCAGCGTTCAAACGAGGTCAGCGCCGACTGCAGGTCCCCTCAGTTAAATATTCCTCTTCCTCCTCAGCCATCAATCGCCCACTCTCTGAAAATGACTCTCCCGAGCTCTTTCTGTCTCTCTCCTGTCCTCTTTTCTCTTCTTTACGCCGCTAAGTGTCTTTTTTTTTCCGTCTTTGTTGTTGGTGTCCTTTTAATCCTCATTAGCGAGGCACTTTTTTTTTCTCGTCAATTCAATTATTAGTCTCTCATTCTCTACCCATTCCCGTCTCTGTCGAAATGGTGAAATCTTCAACTCTTCCTCTAACTTTCCCTCACACACATGCACACACACACGCACACACACAGGCTCTCATGCTTCATTTTGGGTGTGTGTCTATTTTCTCTTAATCCTCACGAGAATTTCTTGTTTAAATAATAGGGACATATCTATCTTCTCTCCACATCATTCCTCTTCCCCTGTCTCTACAGGACAGGACAGGGCAGTCGTTACCATAGCAATGCCTTCCCTGTGCCCACAGATCACTATCATCTGAGCATTAGGCATGAGAGCTCATGCCTCTTGCCTTCTCCCCGCCGTAGTCGGCTGTCAGTGTGGCTAGATGCCGAAATCCCCACCCCACCTCGGTTTGGCAGAAGTTGGCGATGTTGCGGACAATTTGGCGAGCATAGTTTTCTCTGCGGGTGTCTCATGTGGGCTGTGGCCAGCGATGGGTTGGGTTACACTCTTGTCAAGGGCAAGGGAATCATAGCAGCAATATTAACAATTCCTGGGAGCAATTAAGGGAAAGTAGGAAACTAAACATGCAGCAGACAGACAAGTCAAAAACAGCAAAGGCTTTGATTTTTCTTTTAATTTCAGATTGACAGCATTCACCATCTGCTTCTTCAACGCCTGTTTGGGCTTTACAGTTATTGTTTACACCAGCTTCAGGCAAAACGCTGTTTCAAAGTGAGCAGTGCCTCAAGAGGACTAAAAAGTTTTGGGGAAGGAAACTTGGTAAAATGCAGAGGGGTGAGGACAGGACTGAGAATATTTTAAAACCTGGAGGCAAAAGTTTGATGTTGCAGCTTTAATTTCACGTCCAAACAAACACTGACACATAAGTCTAAAAAAGAAAATGCCTTGAATGCTCCTCGCTTAAAGTGTCCTTGAGTAAGACGTTGGACCGTAGCCATCAGTTAAAACCCCCCAAATGTGTGATTAAAGAGTCAGCGACAGAGTAGCTAACAAAGCTGAGATCTTGCAAACTTGCGTAAGCAAATCTGAGTATGACTCGGTCACCGCGCTGGCTCTTCATGGCTGTGAGCTCATAGTGGGAAAAGCAGATTAGCCAACAGGCCGCTGACAGTTGTGTTGGGTCTGTGCTGCAGCCTCGATGGCAGTGTGGTCTGCGGCAGCAGCTGTTAGGGGTTTGGTGTTGGTGTTGGGAGCCAAACTCCCATCCAACCCCAGAGGGGCTGCAGAGAAACAAGCTTTAAATAGGATTTGACATTATATGACCGAGGAGACAACAACAATGCTGGGTGTGATGCGTTATATCCCTAAATTGGATTTTCTGCCTTTTAAAGAGGTGATAATTGATACTGATTGACGGAACAAAAATGGAACAGATGATGAATTTTGAAGGGAAGGGTAGCAAAGGTAACTTGAGTCTTGGGTTGACAAAGTTGATATTGTGCTTTCTAGAGATGTTAAATCATGAATCTAGGCAGTTATCCAAAGAGGAATGGTTGTGAATCACTTTGGATTTCATCACTTTGCTTCAGCTGCTTCGTTTTTTTGTGCGATTCTGTGGCAAGTGGAATTAAAAACTTTGCAAAACATCCACTCCTAAAAATTAACATTTAGAAACATACTTTATAAGCTTTTTGAGCAAAAATGTCATCAATGAATGCTGGTATCAAACTGACCAAAGTATTGAAGGCTAGGTTCACATTACAGGGCTCAATGCTCAATACTGATTTTTTTTTTTCTCCCTAGATCCAATCTTTCTCCTTAGACTGACGTGACACATATCTGACATCAGTGTGAATGTATCTCTGCCCTTAAAAGCAGTGCAAGCTTTCATCTCCCAAATGATTTGCTGCAGAGGTTGAATGACAATTCATCATATGTTGAGCATGAAGGTCAGAAAATGAAGGAACGCAAAAGTTGTAGAAAATGTTAGCTGCTATTGCTGGTAGTTCTGTGGATAGAGAAGTGTGGGTGTAGCCAGGAGAGGAGTCAGGAGTGATGGGCCTGCAGTGCGGAGGGTTTCAGGGAGGAATAGTTCCTATCCAACTTTAGGATGTCCACTATCTCTGCCTCACCACAACACTGTCATGGCATGTATGCAAGCTATTCCCATCAGAAAGCATCTGGCAGTCAGGCTCTAGTGGGTGGCGACTGAAGCAGCCTACCACAACAGAGGTACGGCCTCAGCAGCATTCTGTAGTTTCAATGAACAGCTGCGACACTACATGGTGAGTGATCTGGGCCAGCACAGTGACGTATGATGTGGTAAAAACCATGGATGTATGAAAGAAACACACATGAATTCCTACATGACCGTTCTCACAGGGGTCGCATGTGCAGCGTCTGGATAAGTACGGCTCTAGGACCACATATGAAAGTGGCCTGGATCTGAGTGGATGAAGTTGGATAACTGCGTTCACTCTACTGTAAAAAAAAAACAAAAAACAAAAAAAAACAGACATGTGACAGCAAAAAAAATCGTATTTGAGCCACATTTGCTTGTAATGTGAACATAGCCTAATTTGATGTACAAAAAAACAAACAGATCTTACGTACTTCCCTCTGACTTCAGGGCTGTAAACCAAAACCATGTGCAGGCTCTCCCTGTTTGTCTGTCTGGTGAAATAAAAGTTCCTATTCTCATTTACACAATGCCACGTGCAAAAAAAACAAAAAGTTTGTGCTGCATAGCTCAAAGTCATCTCAGAAATGGGGCCACGAGGGTGGCTGTTCAATCCCATCAAGGGCCGGGGAGTGTGTTTGTGTTTAAGCTCTGCCAAGAGACATTTAACCAGAGTTAACTCCCAACTCAGACCTGCCGCAATCAGGCTGCACATCTGGTGAACGGTGTGTGTGTGTGCGTGTGTGAGTGTGAGTGTGTGTGTGCACATATCAGTATGTATGCTATGCACTTCCAAAATCATGTGTGCATGCAACAGACTGAGTGACTCATGCCAGATAAGGGTGTCTGGCCCGCTACAAGCCAGGGTTAAATCACTCGGCCTGTTGCCCCGTTATCGTCATGGCAACACTCCTCTTGATGAATTTCTGAGATCCCTAACAGCCTGAAGTCATCAACCAAGATAGCAGACCAGTAGGATAAGAGGTGAGGGAGAGCAGAGGGAGGATGATTGAAGAAAACCACCAAACAGTTTTCTATTTAATTCTGCTTACACAACCCGACCTGAGTAAAAAATGCAAAAACCTCAGTCGCTTTCAGTAGATGTCACGGCACCGCAGAGCCGAGAATAGTGACACAGACACATGCAGTGTGCACCATTAAACTGCACACACCTCTGTTTTTTTTTCTCGTCGATTTGACTGACTCACCACAGCAAGCAAACAATTTGTACGAGAAGCAGAAAAGGTAGACAGAAAAAATAAATCTTGATTCAGGAATAAAACATGAATGGGGAATATTTTTCGGACGGAGCGAAAACAAGACAGAAAAGACAGAGTCGTGGTTAAATCAGAGCCAAGGCTTGATGAATGGAGACTCAAATCCAAAAAGAGACAGTTTGGAAATAATCCTGTCACTGCTGTTCCCTGCAACTGTCTCATTGGATGTAGCATGGTAATGACATCGGGAGAGGAGGGAGGTAATAAGCTTGACCGAACGGCTTTGATTTTTCACTTTGATGAGGGAAAGTCATAGCAGCAATGAAATGAAAACTGTCTAAATGAAGGGAGCAGCTCATCATCCCTGTAAAAGGAGATTTGTAGACCAGTGAAAGCTAAAGTGAAAGCAAGGTTGTGATCTTGAACGATTGGAGCGGCATTCGCTGAGCTTGTAGCAGATTCAAAGTGTTTGATATCCGAAGAGGAGGGTTCTTGTCTCTTGTGTCTTGTCTTGCTCAAGGACACTTAAGTATTGTGGCCACTCAGCAGATGTTAAAACACTGAAACCTGTGACATTTACATTCCTGGACAGTCTGACTAATCGCTGGCCTGGTGCCTGCTGTCATTTCTGTCATGATCAGTCACAAAATCAATAAAGCAATAACACACATGGGAAAGGAAATAGCTGCAGCCTGTAGTCACAAAATACCTTGGGGATGTTACAGCTTATTTACAGCATGTTCAGCGTTTTTACAGGGGTGTCAGACATTATCCAAAGAAACGAGCTTTGACTGTTAATTTGATCAGATTTTCTCGGGCTCTCTACCAACAAATGTTCTGCAGTAAACATGGCTGCTTGCTTCGGGTGATTGGAACACAGGGAATAAATTAAGTGTAAAATGCTAAACTGTAAACGAGACAGACATTGCAGACAGTTTTGGAGTTGTGTTGCTAGGAAACAGCTCAGCGCCATCTTTATGTCTTTTCAGTTATTAATATAAGCTACAGGAAGCAAACTTTGACCCATTCTGTGGGTTAATGTCTGAGAATGGAGTGGTCTAAACTCAGGATGTGGGTGCTGTCAGAGGGTTTCTATACAGGTTGTCTGCTACATTATTCTTCAGTATATCAGAGCTCTGTCAGTATGTAGTTAACTGCTGGATAAAAGCCAATCAGCCATTTTTTTCCCCCCTGACTTGAGCTTTAAGCATATTTTCTTTGCATGAATTCATAAATTAGCAACTCACTTTATTCTTACAGATGCACCTGAAGGCTTAAAGGGACACTCCAGTGATTCAGTAAGGCACTTGAGGGACTCCAAAGACACAGATTACAAAAGAATGATCAAAATTGGTGCAGCAGAGGTCAAGATCTCCTCCAAAAAGCCTTGATCAATCATTTCCCATCACGCAACTCTTCTTGATTAACCCTCTCTGCCTGGTAAATGTTCATGTCTGTAAGGGGCCGTACACATGCCACGTCCTTAACTGCAAGGTCAGGTGCTCAGTGATACTGTTGTGCCTACTGGTGCCATCTTTCAAGGGCACAGATGAAGGCAGGTCGCATCTAAGGTTGCTAAGTGACCATAACCAGCACTGTATCACAGTTTACTTACCTGAGTGCAGAGCTGATTTTCCAGGCGTTGTTTTGTAAGTGTGGATGAGGCCAAAAATATTGTCGGTGGGACAGATGCAAAGCTCTGGGCCGCCCAGCACTGAAATGATCAACTTCTTCCTCAGGAGAAGGGAAAGATATCTGCTGTCTGTGATTGGTTGTTCCTTGTCACATGACATGCAGTGCGCACTGCTGCTTTCCAGAATTTGAACTCTGTTTATCTCTAGGCACAGCCGTCACGCCCTGAAAAACAGGCGCTTGGGAGCTGTGATGGCGTCGCTCAGGCTTTTGAGCGCACCTGCCATGCATCGTCATTGAAAACGATGAATTTGAGGGCACACAAAATGCAACATGTGTACAGCCCCTTAACCTCAATGCCACGACTTTATAGCACAGGCTTTTTGTTGTAAATGTGTTGTTTTAAAGCCCAAGGTGATATAACCCCGATGACATCATTATGACAACATTGGGCTTATTTTCTCGATCTTGACATGGCTCCTCTCGAGCCACGGGAAACATTACACGACAGTTGTCACAGGTTGAGTAGTACTAACCACGCCTAGTAAACTGAAGTGCCAACTTTGACCTTACAGAATATTGTTTCCAAAATCACAAACGTCAGTCTAAAACAATCACCATCAGCCTTTAAAACCCTGCTAATGGTCCAACTCTCTTTTCAGCCAACTTCCTAACCATCAACACATGTTCATAGCGTTCAGCACGTGTGTGTATCCTGTACAGATGTGAGTCTCCAGGGCTGTGTTGCCCCACCACCTTCACCACCCCCCATCTGTTGTTTTGCTTGCAGAGTGGCTGCCTGTCTACGGGGCTTACATGCCTTCACGGCCCTGGCCCCCCGCCAGCCCTGTGGCTTCCACCGATTGATCTTTTCCAAGAAACATTAGCGGCAGGCAGGCCGGAAATCAAGGAGGAGGGTGCAGGGGTGTGGAGAGTCACTTTACTTGGGTCTCCTTCTGACTTTGTTGTTCAAGTCATGTCTTTCTTTTTCCTCTCTGTCCGGTGGCTCCTATATGGGTCTGGAATGTGTGGTAACTTTTAGCAAAACACAAAACAAGTGCCAAGTGTGCCATCTTGGCAAGCCAAAAACTACTTTTCCTGTAGATTTGACTCCTCGTGTCACATATCACAGTCTTCATCAGTGGAAGGTTGCAGCTGTTATATGCTAAACACCCTGAACCCTTCAAATCAACGAATTAAGTTCTCAAAAATGGGAACCAGAATACGCCTCCTGTCAGGCCACAGCGACAGAAAGGTGCTGCTGTTGTCTTGGCTGCAAACATGTTGTTATTCTCTTCATGTAAGCGACGGAAAGCATTCGCATTCCACAAGCTGAGCGATCGCATTAACTCCGACAGCTGCAACTTTGTGTCACCACTGATTGGAAAGTACTCGGTGTTACTAACCACGAGCATTGCCCAAAACAAGTGCAAGTCTTTTAACTAGCTTTTTTGTGCTTAGTTGGACTCCAGGGCTGGATTTGTTAGTATTAGACTGAAACCTATCAAGGGTATTATAGGGGTCAGTTCACCCAAATAACAAAACACTTCCCTCTAGTGCTGCAGAATCCAGCTTTTGTTTTCTATCATCCCCTTATACAATGGAGGATAACAGCATTGAAAAATGTCATTTATTGTCTCTGCAGTTTTTCTTGGAACTACTTTCGACCAAAGTAATACTCCCTATGAAAACTGATGACCGCATATTCTGTGGAACAGCCAGAGTCACAGACGCTGTTCCTGGAAAGAGATGATGCTATTGAATTTTTGTAGGTTTGTGAAAACCACAAAAGATATTCTATAAACTTCCTTTGTACTGGGGTGAAGGCAAATGTCTCAGAACTTTGCCAGATCCAACCAAAACTATCTGCATGACTAGAATACCACTAGAGGTAGGTGAGGACATTTGTGTGAACTCAGCCTTTAAAACGTTAAAAAAAGTACCAGTGAAAAAGAGAAAGCCTCAGAATGTTGGATTCTTCCCCCAAGAACTAAAACCTTCCTTTTGTTTATGGGTCCTTTTAATGAGTAAATCAATTGGGCGCGGTCCAGTTCTGTTCAGTGAAGCAGCCAACTCACGTAAAAGTTCCATGGAAAATAATTTGCCCTATCACACATTGAAGTGGGCTCCAATTCAGCAAAGCAAACACACCAAATTAGGTAGCAGTGTAGAGGTGGTGTTGCATATGAAATAGTGGAAACTAATGTAATATGTAATGATGAGCAGGAAACTCCTGTAAACATGTCACGTTTTGTCTGATGAACGCGTCTGGTATCTATAATAGCAAAATAGGAGAGGTGTGAGCGAGTGTTTGTCAGTCAGGGCTCATAACACAACTATTTGTGCTCCAGGACAGATTGTTGGCTTCGGGGGTGGGTGTGGGACCAGTCTGGTCCAGGAGTCCATATGTTGTGACACCGCAGATCAAAAAGATGAAAGTCAGTGTGGCGCTGCAGAGACAGATGGACGCAGTGACACATACTACGTGCGCGAAAAGTCGGGCACGCAGACAGGCCGACACCTGGCTGCAGATCAGATGCCATCAGACACTGGAGGGAAGGGATGTGTGTTGAATGTGTGTCTCTAGTTGCGTGCGTGAGACTACACAATATGGCCAAAAGTATGTGGACAACACTCAACATTATTTTGTGTAATTTTGCATGGTTTAAGGTGCGGCCCGTTTGTTGCAACTGTGAGAAACATTAAAGTATTTCTCAGTGACACCAAATATATGTGACTAAACAGTCAGAGTTTAATATTACTCTACAGGTACTATTTATTAAAAATTTAAAGGAATAGTTCAACATTTTGGGAGATAGTCCAGAAAGTCACCAGGGCTGGACCTGAATATCAACTATTTGGATTAGAGTCCGCCCATGCACACACATCACACATTAACAAGGCTAACTGTTAGCATCACATGGCTAACTTTAACGAGTTAAACAATAGAGTCAAGCCATTTCGATGTTGGTGTGAGTTTGTTGGAACCGTTAAACAACAGCAATGTTGTCAGATGTTAGCCGCTGCTACCTTGTTGGCTCATGCTAACCGGGCAGATGTTGATCTGACCGTTCGACGGGAAGAAAGCGGCTCCTGAGACAGTGTTATAAAACATTGTGTTTTATAAATGTGAATCTCAAATACTAAATTGGTTGCAGTTACTATGGTCAGATTTGGAGTCTATTGTGATGACTCCCATCCCGGCAAAAGCTTCAGATATTCGCTGCTGATTACTACCAAAGCTCCAAAAGATGCTACATACTGCTACCAGCCAGGAAATTGTCTGGTTTATAGCCCCAATAAAACATCCAGATATTATTTTTTACAATTCAGCAATCAGTTTTCTTGGCAAAAGGACGAATTTCCCAAAATGTCAAACTTTCCCTTTACCACTCAGCACCTTTTTAACTGCTTTATCAGGACTTTGTGGGCTTGCTTTCATTAGAATTGACCGACAATGATCATAACACCCACCAGCTGTCATCAGATTCTGAATCAGAAGCGGCTGAATCCTGATTGCTGCTTTTTCCGTCTTTGTAATTAAGTCACGCCCACTGCAAACCAGCGGAAGAGCAGGGACAAAAAAGGAAAAACAGAAAATTCATGTGAAACAGCCAAAACTGCTCCCACTTTGGCAGAAAATACTGTGTCCACGCAGGATCCCATCACTCATAGTAAGAAGTTGATTGCGAACATATGTTTTCAAGGCCTTTAATGCCACAGCATACAGTGATATTTTAGACTACTGCCAACTCTGTGGCAATGGTGGGAAACCTTTTCCTGTGTCAACATGACAGTGCCCCCATGGCCTGAGTATGGTCCATAAAGATGTGGTTTTCTTAGTTCGGTGTGGAGGAGCTTGACTGACCTGCATAGTGCACTGACATTAACCTCACCCAACACCTTTGAGATGAATTAATTAATGCTCCTGTGGCTGTGTTGGAGAAAATCACTGCAGCCAGGTTCCAAATTCTTGTGGAAAGCCTTCCCAGAAGAGTGAAGCAGTTACAGCAGCAGATGAATGTCCATGGTTTCGGAATGAGCTGTTCAACAGTCACATATGGGTATCATTTTCAGGTGTCTACATACTCTTGTCCATTTAGTGTGTTTAGTCCTTTTCTGCGTGCATGTGTGTGGTCTGCTTTGTAACTTGAGCCTACCTGCAATTCTCAGAAACTTGCCGTCCCCAAGCAGCCCGACCTGAAGTGAGACAGAGGCAGAGAAAGAGAGGGTGACGGGGTTAGAAAAAAGAGGCAAACAAAGGTGAAAGAGGGCGAGAGCGAGCCTCTAGAGGGGTTTGAATTCCCCGCAATCAAAAATGGAGACAGAGATGGAAAGAGGGAGTGACTGAATCTTACAATCACAGACTTCCCACATTTATAGCCCCCACCGTTTTTGGGTTTGGTTTGGTTTTGTTTTGCACTTGTGCTTTTGTGTGAAGTCAATCGATTCTGTTTTAATTATTGTTTTTGGTGGTAGTCTGAGAAAAAGAGAAGACACGATGATGACTTTTTTTTTCTTTTTTTTTTTGGCCCTCTGTTTTTCTATTTAACTTTGTTTTTGTACATTTTTTTTTGTAACTTCATCCACTTGGCAGCTTGATATTTAATGTCTTTTTAAGGCGGTGTGTGTATGTGAATAAATGTGTATGTATGTGTGTGTGTGTGTGTGTGTGTGTGTGTGTGTGTGTGTGTGTGTGTGTGTGTGCGCGCGCGCGCGAGCTCATAAGCACTGTCTCAGCCTACTGCCTGAAAAGACTTCCACTCCACCTCACAGATCTTTTACCTCCTTTGATGCCGTAAAGGGGACTTCATACTGTGGCGGCCATCTTGTTTGCGCTCTGTAACTTTAATTTTGTTTTGATGACATCATCTTTTCCTTGTGACCTTAACAGCATCACATAACCACTTGTTTTGCTTTTTTCTAAAGTTGCTTTTTTGTTTTAATGTTTGTTTGTTTTTAATAAGACGATGTAATTAATTTTCTCACCTTCACACATGCAACTCACAGGGAACATACACATCTACATATACATACATGCACGCAAACACACACAGTACAGTCTTTGTTTTTTTGCCGTGGTCTGATTGTGGCCGTGTCCTCTGCTGGTACAACAGTCAGACTACTGTAGCCGCTCTGTTTGCGCCCTCGCTGTTATGTGATCGCTATGAAGGCTCGCCATTGTGTGACCAAAAACCATTTTTGTCGTCGCTCAGCCACTCAGAACCGGTTTGGGCCAGAGAGACCAGACCTGAGAGGAACCCAGGATACAGAAAATAAATGGCCATTTTTGCCCACGTCTTTTGTTTACTGTTCTGTGTGTGTCTGACAGCAAAATGGTGCCGGTTTGATGCTCTTTTCTGTTGTTTCTTTGTTATCTTTTATCACTGATATTGTTTTTTTTCCCTCCAAACAAACAAAGATGTCAAAAAAAAGAAAAAAAAGAAATTATGATTTCTTTTGGAAAAAGCTTTTTATTTGAGTTGCATGCTGATGTGCAGATAGTACTTCTGCCTGTACTATGAACTATGAATTGCACCTTATTGGAGAGATGTGTTTTTGTTTTTGTTTTTATGAGTACATAAATATATATATGGGGGATGTATCTGTTTTTAATTTTGTTAAAAGATGTAACTGTTAGCTAGTCAGGCAATGTATTGTATCATAAACAGGGTTATGTTTTTTATTTTTTTACGCCTGTTAATGCAGGTTCCATCATAAATGATTCAGTCACTGATGTTTGCTGTGGGAAGGCTTCATTAAGCAGCGAAAATAAGCTGGAGACTGGTGAACATGCAAAAAGTCCAGCAGACTTCCTACAATGGATTGTGATTCAGATTTAAAGGTCCAGTGTGTAGGATTTAGGGGCATCTATTGGCAGAAATTATGTTTAATATTAATAACTATGTTTTTGTTATGTTATGATCACCTGAAAATAACAATGGTTGTGTTTTTGTTCCCTTAAAATAAAACATTTATATCTACATAGAGATAGTACTTCCAGGATGTTGCCATGGTGTGATCGTTACAGCTAAAGCAAATTCAGCCCATCCCAGTAAAAAAAACCCATCTGACTATTTAAAACGGATAAAATGCCATTTCGTAGAGCTGTCTCATTCTCTCTCTGTTTATCAAACAGAATGACGGGGACAACTGTTAGCATCACACAGCTAATATTTCCCAATGGTTTTAACAACAGAGACGATCTGTTTTGGTGTCCATTTAACTGCACAGTGTTGGATGTTATAGCCGCTGCTGCTGCGTTAGCTCGTGCTAAACGGGCAGAGACAGCAGCAGGAGAGTGCATCACCGAGATGGTACTTAAGCGCTGTTTTGAAATCCTGGAGGGACTCACACAGAGTGGATCTTTTTCCACGGAGTCCCCCATGTTGTTCTACAGTAGCCCAGAATGGACAAATCCAACTGGCTCTAGATAGGGCCATCCACGTTGGCCACCATACACGCTTGACACCCTGGATGAGTTTAGTTCTGCAACCTCAAAGCCATATCCCACTAAATCCTCCACACTGGACGTTTAAAAAGAAAAACATTTTAAAATCTTTACTTTATATAGGCTAACTAGAACTTCTGTGAGAACAGATTTTAAAATGAAGTGGACTTTGGGGTTCAAATTGGGTCACAAATTACAATTCATCCAAAAGCTGCCTGGAAACCAAACACAGTGTTGTTCCAGGAAGTTTGATGGGGAAGAACATAGATGACAAAACCACAAAAACTTCTTTCTCTACAGACTTTATAGCAGAAACAGGTTTGCTTCGTTGGTTCAGACAAAAACATCCTGTAATGAAGACAAGTGTGACTGCCTGGCTAATTGCTGCTGCTTAGTGGAGCCTTGTCTACAGACACACACAAACACACACACACAGGCTTGTCCTTACAACCACTAGGAGGCATCCTGCTTGTCCTCTCATACATCACACAAACACGACTTAAGCCTTCCGTCCATCTTGTCCTTGAAAAAAGGACAAATGACTTACAAAAGACGCCATGTTGCTTAGACACATTTTCACACACACACACACACACACACACACACACACAGGCAAACACACACACACTAACAATAAGGCTTTGGCAGATGACTGGCACCAGGCATGATGCTGCCACCCGGTCTCACATCCCCAGGGCAGGGTGCTGTCTGCAGCCAATTAACCAACAGGGCCGGATGCCAGGTCCATATCCATCTAATCCTCTCCACCCTCCCGCCACGTTGCCAGATTTAGCCCTCCACTCTTTACGCAGACTTTGTTGTGTTTAAAAAAAATAAGGTTTACAATGTGAGCGGGATAATGAAAGTAGGTTAGATGACTCGGGTGTGTTTTTATTGGGTAAAATCCTGTTGAAAACGAGCAGGTTGCAACACTTTGTGCTTTTTTTAGTCGACCTAAATGAGATTGGAGAGATTAGTAGACTGGTTATGCCTATTCTGATCCATCCTTGTCTACAAATGGAAAAACACCTAACATACAAAAAAGCATCCCTACCTGAGAACAAAAATGTTCTTATGTAGCCTGCAAACCACAAACCAGTCGCTCCTTTTCAAGCATTTGAAAGCTGTCAGAAAAGGGCAACGCAAGGATTATTACCTTTGTATTTTTGACACAGTGGCTACATATGAGCGTACGTCATTACATATTGTGACATGTACCATAACACAATCTCTGTCCCCTGCCTCCCTCTGTCCCCCATGCACTGATAATGATTGTATATGGTCGCATAGTTTTATTTTTTATATCATTGTTGGGGCTTAATTTTGTTTCTGGGGTCATTTATTATTTTGTGCTGTTTTGTTTGAGATAGTTTGATGAGTCTCTGTAATTGGTGTGCAGGAGAGTGCGTGTTTGTGCGAGTGAGAGTGTGTGTGTGTGTGTGTGTGTGTGTGTGTGTGTGTGTGTGTGTGTGTACTGTAGCTTACTGAATGTGTGTACGAGAGGGGACAGAAGAGAAAACGACTGGGTGTGTTGTTTAGTGGCTCGGTGTTCAGCTCCTAATGCACATCAGCCCTTTGCCTGTGTTCATCATTGTGCCAGTGTGTTCAGGTGTTCCCTTGCCTCTGCATCCGTTCATCCAAATGAAGAGAGAGAGAGAACAGGAGATGAGGAGGAGGAGGAGGAGGAGGAGGAGGAGGAGGAGGAGGAGGAGGCAGAGGGCCTTTTCCCTCAGGGGGAAAAAAAACACAAATGAGAAAAGATACTTTTGAAAAAAGGATATTTTTCTCCTCTGCGGGGTCACAAAGAAGAGTGTACATTTCTAAGTTAATTGAAAATGATGAATAAAAAAACTCATTTGTTCTCTATATGAATGGCTGTATGTTAACCATGAACAAAAAGTAATGAGTTCTATGACAAAGACATATAATAAATTAATTTTAAAATTTTAACACTGCTGTCTGTTTACTTCTCGCGTCAAGGCATGTGTTGAGGTGTGTGTGTGTGTGTGTGTGTGTCTGCAGATGCCCTGCAGTGTTACTAGATTACGGTGATTTGCATCATCCATCCCTCATCTCACTAGAGGGCAGCACCACAGCACACATCATTACTGCTCATTAGGATGCATCACTGTGAGCGCTCTATAGTGCTTTGGATTCATGTTAAACAGCAGACTTTAAAAGTTCAAGCTCTTAATGGAACAGGAGGTATTTTATTACACTAAATGCTGCGCTTACAAACACAAAAACAAATTCAACTGGCAAATTCAAAATAAACATTTATGCTGTTATTGGAGGGCATGTTGATCCCAGGTTCAATTCAGTATTGCAGAATGAAGCAACTTTGCCTGGATTAGAAGCACTGAAACACATCTTTTTTATCACGGCTGGATCTGTTAAGTGGCCCCCGAGCTAAAATATGTCGTTTGGGCCTTTGTGACCCCCCCACCCTTTCCACCCTTGGTGCGTTGTGTATGCACCATGTCACCACCAAGCATCCATCAAACCAGAAAGTGCTCCAATGCTGAAACAAAGTTGCAGTAATATGCACCACATGCAAAGTATAAACTAAAATAATGCAGTGTTTCTGGAGGTCCTTATAAGTCTAAAAATGTCTTAATTTTATTATACCTCAGAATTCATTAAATCATCTTAAATTTTAAACTGAGTAGGGTTGCAACGATTGGTCGACTAATCGATGACTAATCTACTATTAAAATAATCGGTGACTATTATAGTAGTCGACTAATCAGTTTGAGTTTCATAGAAAAGTACTATAAAAGTACGTCAAAAAACTCTTATTGCAGCTTCTTACGTTCAAATATTGGCAGCTTTACTCACTCTCCCATGACGGTGAATTAAAACTCTTTGGCGTGAGTACGAAACAAGACATTAGATGACCGACATTTTAACAAATTTTTCGACAAGATGATTAGTCGACTAATCAAAGAAATAATCGACAGATTAGTCGACAATGACAATCATTGTCAGTTGCAGCCCTAAAACTGAGGTCACAAACATTTTATTCTATTTTATCCATTTTTTAATCTCTTTCAGTTAGAATGATTTAAGCTTTTCTGCATGAAAGTTCCATTTTCTGATGTTACAAATCTTAAAACATGCCACCACTGAACATAACAATGTATTTTTACAGAACTAAATACTTGCACTTACCTGTTGGCAAATGTAGATCAACCTACTTCGCCCTGAGTGCTGCATAAAATCTGCCTCTGCAAGGGACTAAAGTATTTTAACCTTTATTTAACCTGAAAAAAACCCTCCTGAGATTAAAATCTCTTTTTCAAGAGTGTCCTGTCCAGGACAGCCAGCAACATAAGTTACAGACAAAATATACAGATCTAAAATAAGCAATACACAACACAAAATGAGATTACTATAAAGAAAAGCCAAACACTATGTTAATATATGCTAAAAGTGAACCATAAGAATGCAAACAATAGGGCAACTACTCCTACTACTACTATGATTACAAAGATACATGACACTACTTCACTTTAATCTTACTTGCAATGCTTAAATAAGAAAAATAAATAAATCTGAAAAGTTCTTTGAAAGCATTAAAGTGTCCTGTAGACATCCTGCCTGTTAATATTGCACCTTTTGAGTGTTTTTACATGTGTCTGTTTGTGACCACGAAACATTTTAGGCCGTCTCAGGTGCACACACTTTTATTTTGTGTCTGTATTTTCGTACAGTGTGCAGAGTACGCCCCTAGTGTTTAATGCAAGGAAATGCATCTCTTTACTGATGGATCAAGTGTAGACTTTTTGTGAAATGCATACACATTATGTTACACAACCAGCATGCTACCAATATTAGCTAGCTAAAAATGCTGTTGAACTTTTAACTCAGAAACAATGCATAAATAGAGCTGTATAACATTTATCAGTCTGTTAGCTATTTCATTTTATGCTCATTTCCTGTGGAACGATGCATACGGTCTGTCTGAAGTTACATTTAGCAGCAAAAGTTACTGTTTTTTCAAAATACTTGAAGCAAATTCTGGACCAAACAAAAAACAAAGGAGGAGTCAGAGGTCATGAAGGTTCTCATAGGAATGAACAAACCTCTGGTTGACTTGAACACAGAGCTGTGTGAAAATGAGGTGTTGTACTAATGTGTAATGCATAATATGTTATTATACAGGTACATTTATAAACATCACTGGGAAGAAAAATCAGAGGCTAGCTAGGTTGCATTGAAAACACATCAAACAAGAGATGAAACAAAATCAACTGATGGATTTTCCACAGAAAAAAAGTATCTACAACACCTGAAATGCAGTCAGGTAGGGCAGTGTTGCAGGCTGTTGCTCCTGAGCAACTGCCAGTGTCCCCTCCTCAGTCTAGCCAGGTGACTAACACTTCAACCAAGTCTAGAGCTGCAGCTAACTGAGCAACAGCAAGAGCAGTCAGAGTCAGGGACATATCAAGGCTTAAAATCGACTAACTAAATGATTAACTGCATGTCTGCAGATTGGCCTTTCACCTACGAAGAACAGCAGACAATTTTCCAAAGGCTAGTAGTGAATATGTCTTTTGCAAAGTTTTTAATGGCATAGCAGGTCCTTGATGTCATGTCACTTCAGCTGAAACAACGCCCCTGTTTATGGGCATGTTTTTCTTAACTTTGGTCAGAGCCATGCTAGCTGTTTTCCCTCTGCTTCCAGTCTTTATGCTAAGCTAAGATAACCGGCTGTTGGGTGGCAGTAGCTTCATATTTAGCATACAGAGAGTAGAGTGGTAAAAAATTATAAACATATTGGCCAAAATGTTAAGCTATTCCTTAAAAGAGGTGCAAATTCCTCTTACAAATTTGCAACCAGTCAAATAACTAAAAACCAACTGACATGCAGTCAGCTTGGGCTTTTTGTGGCCCCTGGGGGTGTTGGGTCCTCGAGGCAGTTGCCCGCCTTGCCTGGTTGGTAATTCACCCTGGCTTTTAATCACTGATATTACTGCAAGTTGTAAACATTGACTGTAAAATTCTAATAGCCTCCGGGGACACATTTGCACCAAGACTTTAACATTACGAAAACCATATGTGGAGAAATTACTAACCTGCACTAAAAACAGGAAGAAAAAACTGTTTCTGTGGATATGACCATTACCAAAATATTATAAAAGTAGAGCATACACACACTACCCTCAAGTGTGTGCAAATTCAGTGGCAGCAGTCCATCTTTCCATAATTGAGGAGGGAAAAATGGACAAAAAAAGTGTCATCTGAGGCCATGACACCACTATGACACATCCAGCGGGGAGGAGGGCGCCACTTTATGTCTAAACATCCAGTTAATGTCCAGTTTAAGTGCCAGATCAGCCACAGAGGACCAGGGTGTAACAGCTCCCAGCCCAGGCACACAGACAAAGGAATGCACTGCTGTTGTTTTTTTGTATTTTAAGTGGATACAATGAAACACGAACAAAAGATCACCAAGTATCTGTAATCAAGAATTCAAACAGTTGCATGCGCATACAGACATATGATATCCATAGGAGCATGCATTCATATTAATGAATATGAACATTGACAGACAGGTGAGGTTTGTGATTAATTCATTAAACTCAAACTGTTTAAAAGCAATTCATTGTGTAAACATAATATCAGCTGTCACACTGCAAGTATTAACACTCAGCTCAGGGCCTTAAGATTGGATAAACATGCAAGTGCCACCTCAGGGCCCCAGTTTTAATGTGCAAACAAATTTGTGATTAATTACATTACCACAAAGTAATTGCTACACAGACAAGGATCTGAAAGTTGCCCAACTGTCAGGCAGATAATTGAGCTGACAGGGACAGTTCAGGGATGTATTGATAAAATGAAGGTACATATGGAGTGCTGCAGGGATGATATTTATGCTGTAGGCCAACGCAGACAGGGGAATTAACTGAAGATGATTGTTTAATATGAATTAGAGGTGTGCAGATTAACGTGATGATGTGATGTGATGATTAATAAGATTTGATAGGAGGTCTTTAGCAGTTGGGCACCAGAGGGGGCTTCTGTAACTGCAGGGCATTCAAGCAGCAAGATAAATGCCCCACAGAGTCCAGACACTGGTGGTGGTCGTGGTGGCTGATGACTCTAAAGGTGCGGACAGACCAAACCGACATCAACTAGCGGCGACGAAAGCCAACTGTTGCGTCGTCTACGTCGCCCTATGTCAGTTGCATTTTAACACACTACAAAGACTACATCCAATGGCCAAGTAGCACGTACATTCTGCGCCTGCGCAACAGAGTGCAGAGTGAGAGAGTCGTACATCCTGTCAGCCGAGGGGTTTCCTTTCTGTGCAGCCCAGCACCACAGCACCTCCACGGACTATTACATCCAGACGGTCCCGGTGTTTCCTCCACAGGCTCCATTTCACTCAGCTTCAATCAGCTGCCTGATAAACCCGCTGCTTCTTCCCACTTTAACCTGAATAACAAACCAGGGCTCGGTGCTCCGGTTGGATCCAAACAGAGAGCCAGGGCTAGCTCAGA